TATTTTTGGTAGGAGTCTCAGTAGGGTTTGATGAAATGGAAACTGAGACATTTTGGGGTCCTTCTATAGAATCGCTCACCGTATGCTCAGCTCTCACAGCTGCGCAAGATACCATAGCCTGTCCTGTTTGTTGGGTCTGGCCGTCATAAACCTGGTCCTCCGCGTTTATATAATTTTTATTTATAACTACATAAAAAAATTTAATTAACTTCAGCTCGATATACTAAGTAAAAATATTCATCATACTCGAAAACCTTCCCCAAACCCTAAATTAAACTTTAAAATCTAATCCTAACATTAATATTTAAATTAAATTTTTTTTGCAATTTTATATAATTCTACATAGAAATATATATGGATTTACATAAATAGCTATATAAAACCTACGTTGGGTTTATAAAGCTACATAAAAATTTTACATAATTCTGCATAAAAATTCTTTATAAGTCTATATAAAAACAACTTTGTGATGATTACCAACATTTAGGATTATAATTTCGTCGTTTATTTCATTTTTAAAACTATATTTTTAATAGTACTACCCAAAAATCCTGAAAGATAGATTCTTGAAAAGGACATAATATCGACAAAGTTAGCCAGCATTAGTTATAATAATGCTAAATTAGTTGTATTATATTCTTTCAGGAAAATAGCCTTCAGAATTTCAGGATAGAACCGTCTAAAATGTATAAGGTGCAAAAGATAAAATGTATGAGACGAAATACAATCCATGTAGTTATCAAGAGAGTGGCAAGTACCTTGCTTTATTATAAAGATATATATATAAATTATGCGTAATATTTTGTTTATTTAAAGTGGGGTAATAAGGTGATTCAGGATTATTATTTTAAAAATAAGTGTAAACAATTCACTAAAATAAATGAAACAAAAAAACATGAAACTATGACAAAATAATTCAAAATGATTTATTGTAAATGGATTATCTTAATTCATATTTCAAAATAGTTTATATCATTATTCTTATATCTACTGTTAATAAAAAATTTAGATTTACATATATGCTCTTTAAATCTTATGCAGAAACGTTTGTACCAAAGCATTAGTTATTTATTCATTTAGAATGATTAGTAATAAATTTTTCAGTAAATAATATTATTTTAATATAAGTGCTTTTCGGAATATTTGAACTTATATATGTCATGGTCAAACTTTAAAACGATAGTACTGTTTGTAGTACATTACTAGATTATAAAAATTTACGAAGAATTAAGGTCAATTAATCATGAAAATAATTCCAAATACAGAAACTCCTCTTACAATAAATAAAAAGATATAATATTTCCTTTCTGATAAAATACATTAAAAGAAAAATCTAAAAATATTAAGTGATGTTCTTGTAAAGTGTCTCTTTTATTTTATTCCTCCTTCAGAACCAATTTTCAACTAACGAGATTCGATATAATTAGTGTAAAATATTTACAAAGTGTTTTGGCAAATCTTGTAAGTTACATTTTAACTTGCATGTAACTTACATAATTTTGCAAAATTACACTAATATATACACAGTAATTAAATATAACTTACATGTAACTTACATCAAAAATTTAAAACTTACACAAAATGCCCAACCCTAGTTTTGACTAATTATTTTCTTTCTTTGAATCAAACCTATTTCAAGAGTACAGTATTAGAATGGTATTTTTGTAAGAGCCTCTGATATTGTTTTTAATCAAAGAGATTCAATTCTTTGGAATTAAAATTTTTTGAAAGATATGCAGCTCAGATAGACACATAGTATAGAAAAATATAATAAAAATTATTTTAAAAACCTTTTCTTTTCTATTAAAAAAGAATGGCAGTGTATTACAGTATTACGAGTAAAGAAATAGTTATTCACAAGTATAGTTGGAAATGATCTGAGAGTTGCACTCTAGTTAAATGTTTTTATTATAAAATTACTAAAATACTACTTAACCAGTTTTACGTTGAATAAGATATTTCTTTATTTATTGATTTTTTCTAAAAAAAGTATGATATTTGAACATTTCAATCTATTACACTAAATTAAGTATTATACTTATAAAAAATTGGTCTAACTAATTTTAAATTTCAAATCCTAAATATTTAAATTTTGCATAAATTAATGAACTTGTATAAAATTTTCATTTAAGATAATAATGATATTATTCGATCCATTTAATAATATTTTTATAAAAGACTTTCTGCAAACTTAGTTATGTCTAAGTATTCAGTCACTACCAAACTTGCGTACTGAACCAGATGATTATGCCCTTGGTTAAACATTACTTTAATAGATGCAAAATGGTTTGCTAATCGTTTTCCAATTGCGGCAACAATTTTTTCATTGGAACAAAATGCATATCCTTGTTTATTAAATTCGTGATGCCACCTTCCTTTCTCATAATTATCAAATAGAAAACAATTTGAACCAGAACCATCTATATAATATGTAACAGAGATATCCGAAATAAATCTGTTTATTGCTTTATTAATAAAAAGTATCAAATAATCGCAAAATTTGTCAAAAACTGAAGCACCCTCCTGTAAATTATGGATAATATGGTTATCAGAAATGGGGATCTTAAAATATTCTATTTCTAAATCTATAGTCTGTTTCGAAACTGGAAATTCTTTGGATTTGAGTTCATCATTCCAGAGGATTTCACCAGTGTGATAATATTCTAAAATGCAATAGAAAGCATGGCCATTTCGATCGATAAAGTATTCATTACCACCAGGATAAATTGGTTTGATTGATTCAGGGTCTTTAGGATTAAATAATATTTCTAAAGTTGTTTCTGGATGAGTGGTTAAAGTTCTACGAGTAGTTTCAAACTAATAAAAATTTAATTAATTTATCATTAAATTCATTAAATTTCTAATATAATTTTAAAAAGTTTTGGGACTTACTTTAATACCACCAACATTAAGAATGATAACTTCATCTTCCATTTTGTTTTTTATAACCGTATTTTTAACGTGTTCTAATAATTTATCCATGTCTGTCATTTAAAATTTAAAGCTCTTATATAAAATTTTTCATCTTGATAGATTAATAAGATTATTTGTTTACCAAAGATAATGCAATTGATACAAAATTTGTGCTAATGTTAATTGAAAACATTTCAATTACCACGAAAAAAATGCGGTAGTGCCAAGAAAAAAAAAACATGTTTATGTCAAGAAAAACATATTAATGATAAGAATAGACTCGTAATTCATATTATTTGAAAGGCGGCATCCATAATTTAAGTTAAACCAGTATTGTTATAAAATTCTTAAAAGATATTCTATACAATACAGTACTGGTTTAATGTAAATTATGGATGCTGCCAAAGGTTTTAAAATCATGAAACCACAATCATCTTAGTGTTTTTACAGCATTTAGAAATTGTATTATTAACTATAAATAGAAATATTTTACCACATAAGTATGTACGTACGTACTTTCATATTGTAGTACATACGTACACAAATAAGAATATACATATATAGTATATTGTACTAAAGATAATTTAATATCTTATTATACGATATTTTGAACCGTTACAATACAGTACGAATATTCCTGTATAGTGTGTTGTACTAATAAATGATAATTTAGTATTGTATTGTATCGAATTTCAAATAATATTATACAGTACACTACTTATATTAATGCAATAAATGAATAAGAGCCTTTAGTATTGGATAGTATAGTGTTAAGTAAAGATATCGATATAGTATGTACATACGGCCAAGTGGGGTGTTTGGTCAGCTGGTTAAATAAAACCTATTTGTAGTCCAATAGTAGATTTGTATTGTGAATTTTTTTAAA